TCACCACGAAACTGCACCTCAACACGAACCCTCTTATCAGATGCACCGGGGACTGACAGACCGCACACCACGCATTGCATCTGATGCTCGAATTCGGAAGACAGACCGCACAGAGAGCCTGTCCAGGACAGTAGAGAATAGCACATAAGACGACGACGGACAGCGAGGAGAGTAAAAAGGGTATCGGACCACTGTAGTTCCATGAGGGAGCAATACCATGTCAAATGTTGTGCAATGCAACTAAAAGCCTTTAAACAACAATCTCTCTTGAAGCTCAGCATTTCAAGTGTTCAATTTAGTACACCGATAACGGGATTTAGTATCCCGCTAATGCCAAAGTGATAAAATTTATTCACCAAAATTTCGTGATAAAATACGAGAGATCACCAGTGATTGGAGAACGCCGCCGGTGATGTCAACTTTTCTCATCTCCACCTTCACTGAAGTTACCGACGACTCGCGTGACTTCGCTCGTCACATCTTGTGCCCGTTGCCGGATAAACCCTTTCATTCGTCCCCTAATGAAGCGAACACCTGTCTCTGCAGATGACTGGCATGTCTTTGAGAGCTCATTTGACACTCACGCTTCGCCCAGCACCATCGACCTTGCCATTATCCAGCCGATCCCCCGATCCCTGCAAACAATTCTGTAAATTCCAATGCTACATCATCTGGCATCCCCTCCTCTCCAGTCAGGAACTGTTCGCTCCCAAATTGTCCTATGTCAGGAAGAAAATTAATGAAACCAATCTTTACGAGAAACGCCTGCGTACAATGCAATGCCTCTCACTTGCGACGTAAACAGCTTGATGAAACGCTTGGACATGTTTTGGTGGTGACGCAAAGCACGTATTGCTCCCTTTGTGGACACACCTATATGTATCGAAGTGCAACGATGAATAGCGGGGCGAAACAGAACAAATGGTGCGGAAGGTGCTCGCAGCCTTTATGTAACTCGTGCTGGGATGAGTGGCACTCTGAACCCAAGTTGAACCGCAAAAAGCCTTCCGAGGACAAACTCGAGGCGTTCAGAACAAGGATTGACCCGAAGCTCGGCTCTCAGGCTGGGTGTAAAAGGCGATCTAGACGCTGAATCGATAGTGATTAAAGAGCATTCGGAGACATTCTTCACAGATAGTTCGTGAATCAGTAGAAAAAAGTGAAGAAAAAATCTCATAGATATGGTTCTGCCGTTACGTATTTTTGCCGGTGGAGATACTCGGGCAATACCTAGTTGGTTACAATAAAAAGCATATCGTTGAAATGCCCGTGAAAGGAGGACGCCACTGCTGTGCTCGATGGCGTTCGTTGAGCCAGCGCGCGTCACCAGGGTGGAATTTGCGTTATTTTCCAGTTTTCAGTGTCCCCAATTTGGTCATCAGCGGGGTATGGGCTAGTGTCTATTCGACACCAATTTTTCCTCATATGAGGCCTCGTTTTTCTCATATGAGGCATGCTAGCATAAGTGCTAATGCACCGCCTCAAATACCACCGTGGTCTGCGTGTCACCTTCACAACTAAACGAAGATGAGAAGATTAGAATTCCGACAAACGTAACTGTCCAGAAGTAGCCAGTCCTGTGCGCTGTCGGCGACGACGCGGTGAGATACTTTTATAGATTGTGCTCAGCTTCCATGTGTTTCGTAAAGCAGCAACGGCCTGTCTGGCTGTGGCAAATAAAACAATCCAAGTTGGCCTTATCACGACAGCCGGAGCATAAACACTTCGACTTAAACTGTTGGCACACAGCGCAACGTTCCTGAAAAACTGCATTTGTCAACTCACCCAGACAGGTTCTTCTACGCTTGGTCGGCGAAAGGTGCTCCTTGATTCCACTGGTCGGAACATAGCATCCATCGTCGATGGAACTGTCACTTGTAACCCTTCGATAAGTGGAAGGTCCAAACTTGTTATCAATCAGACCCTCAGCCAACTTCTCGTAGAAAAAGTGCTGTGGCATAAACCCCTTTGCCCCCCTCCCACCTTTGCAGACTAGCCATGAGTCAACTATACAAACCGAGAGCAATGTCAAATTAGCCCGTTTATCCCAATCCCTGACTTGAATTTTTCTTTCCATCGCCAAGTCATCTTGGCGGCAGCGGTTATGCCTGTCAATAGCCCGACATGCACTGTAGTACTGCTCAACGAGCTGCGGCTGGTTCACTCTGATGGTGACTCGAGAGGACCCGTCCTCCTGTTGCTGCCATCTGATCCTCTCATACGGCTTACATGGTCTCATCGATCCAGCAGTAGATACAAAGTATTTTCGAGCCCTATCAACCCAGCACACGGCCAGTAGAGAGGTACCTGTTGGTTGGATGGTCGTGTGAAGGCAAAATTCGTCCCCACGTCCACTCAACTCAACACGCCCTAAATATGACATGGGGAAACGTCTCGTAGCAGTCTTAATAACACCAGTAAATCTCAACCCAACGTGCGTGAGCTTTTCCGCCGTTTGCACTGACGCAAAATAAGAATCCGCAATAACGACCCTTTTAGATTCCGCCCAAGGTTCCACCAATCGCTTGATAACGGCTGTGCCGTGATTCATATCGCCTTCGAATGTTTTTGAAGTTGTGTCCTCTGCAGACATCACAAATTACATACGCAACATAATACCGCTTGTGCCACAAGCAGTGTTTTGAATTTCACATTCTGCTTCAGGTTTTCGGTCTATAGCGACGTAATGGGGGAGCCCAATGTCAATCCAACCACCTCCCAACCCATACCAACGCGATATGGACTCATCAACGCACAGCAGTTCGGACAGAGTGACAGTTTTAATTCTGTGATTGTTGATGGCTTCCAAAAAATCAGAGACCATACGCCAACGGTCATTTGACGATCCATTGCTGCTGTTTCTGATTGGACCACTGCTGAATTTCGTATGCACAAAGAGGGCATCAAAACGCCTCCTTGGCATAATATCTCCAAAATTAGGGATCGGAACGTAATTGGTGGCGGGTTTGGTCGCCCTTAAGAAGCGTCGAGAGCCACTAAATTCAAATCTTGTTATCAGCACAAGCACACCAAAAAAACTCAGAATTTCAGATACAGTTGTGTGCTTGTGTCCGTTCTCCTCTAAACTTTTGGAGGTCATGTTGACAATAGCTGGCAGGTACGCCATAGGAAACATCATCAAGAAATAGTCTATTGGTTTTCTCTCTCGCCACTCGCTTCCCTCTGAAACCATAGACTCGTCTCAGCATTTTACCTCCCAGCGCTTGCAGCGTACCATTCCATTGATGTGATCATTGTCATTGTAGGATTTCCAAACCTGGCCGTTTGCGGTAATTTCACAATCACTGGTACAGACAGGACTTTCGTTGTGTTGAGCGATCATATTATTATCTACCGGGAGCGGTTCGTCACACACTGAGAGTGGTAAAATACCCGCCGAATCTGCAGTGTCTTCGGCAAATTCATTGATGTCATCGGTCTCGTGACGCCCATGATGCAAAATATCTTCATTTGTGTCTCGAGGGTGGGGCGCGCCTGGACGCACGTGACGCATGAGCACACTTTTGATAGTCTCTCCCGATGCCACCTCCCAATGCGCCCTAATAAATGTCTGTGTCTTGACTTTTGGACATTTTTTTCAGTACAGATGACAATGCCTTTGAGCTCCTTGGAATTCCATTGCGACCTGTACATCTGCCGGCACGGTAAACGTTCCCAAACGTGTCTAGCTTTGGCATGGACAATGGAATTGGGAACGAGTCGCAAGTCTGGAGGGGACATGGGGTGGAAAAGGAGTGGCTTCGATAATTGAGCTTTTGACTGGTGACACTACTAAAATGACCTGCAGGAAGGTTACATGTCTTTTATACGTGATTTTCTTGCCTGGCCCTCTTTGCAAGGTTGCAGTGGATTTGTCTAGATGTATCGGTTTCGGTTTCCCGCCAACATGGAAAAGGCGGGACGCGTGTTAACACTGTACTCATATGAGGCACCAGTCCTCATATGAGGACAGATGTCGAATAGACACTAGACTAATTTACAGGCCTATTTTCGGCACCTTGGACCATAAATTAGCGTGCCCTACTCTAATTGGGTACCGCACTATATACAGTCCGGGGAATATCGAATGGCCCATATTTCGGCAAAAGTCACCGAACTGATACTGTACTGTGGGACACCGCCCTGTCATTAATTAATTAATGTCAGTTCGAAATGGATAAAGTTAATCCATTTCGAACTGACATTAATGGCCATTCTAATTTCGTACCACGCAATTTTCTCCACTAATTTTTCCCCCAGACTAAATCCAGTTGCCGGGTGTCTATTTTACAGTGCTGTTGTGACAATTTGTGCAACGTGTACATGTTGGCAGCATACAGAGCATGGCAGGATTGAATGGGATAGTAGTAGTTGGATGCATGAGGTACGAATTGATTAATCGAGGCAAGGGGCGCAAAGGACCAAGGGGTGCAAAGCAATCCCCATGCATGGGGTTTTAATTCACGTCTACGAGCTGTAGCGAAAAGCCGACAATTGCATTGTCGACCATTGTAAGCGAGAATGGTAATTGAGTGCAGGAGCGACATGCTGTTCTCCTAGATAGTGATGTATATGGAGCGATAGAGACACCGGAAGCACCGGAGAGAAGGAGGTAGAGCGAGAGCGGAGGTTAAGAGCAAATACAGTGCAGAGAGTAGCATACTCGGGCTTTTGTGCCTTCCGTACTTGTCACCAAGGACAGAACTGCTCCTACACTGCGCGCGACACCAACATGTCTGAGCTGGTTCTCACAGCTGTACATTTCTTTAGTGTGGCATATTTGAGCCGAAGATCCCTTTTTCTGAAATATTTCGACAAAAATGGTAAGAAACCACAAGAAAAAGGATGCGATTCACAATGGAAACAGGGCCCGTTGAAGGTTACGGCTTTCGTAGTACAGTATCTATGAAAAACATGTTAAGCAGGAGCATCTGCTGCGGAGCTAAGGTGTCTGTACAGCCGCGCGGAGCGTTGCGGCAAGTCTCACAGACCTCCGCAGCTTTTTTCTCTTTCAACAACACGGGAAACAAATTGAATTTTAAACGATTGCAAGTCGGGTCATTAATGGAACAGTCAAGCACCATCCTATTCCTACCTAGTCCTCGCAGGAAAGGCCTATGGGCGTGTGCGTTCCGAAGTGCGTCAAAATCGAATGGAACCGGTGATGTCCAGGCTCGCGGTCGATGTATCCAGGGAGGCCTCTCTCGACTCTCTTCGAATCAAAATCTTAAGCGGCGCGGCCGAGTTTCGCTGGCGAAGAAGAGTTTTTGCTCGCTTCGTGTAGAATTATGCGATTCAAGAGAAGACGCTTCGATTCAGATATAGACCGCTTCTCGACTGAGCAATAGTTTCCTGCTCACGCTATGCATGTTTTCATCGCTTACTTGTTTGCGGTCTTTGGTGCGTGAATTGGTGAAAGGAGCGTAGGAGAACGGAATGAATCAACTTCAAATGAGTCCGCTGCTGAAGTTAATAGGTTCTGCCATAGTTCCTTTAGGTCCGGAGATGTCTCCCAAATCTCCATATTCCATGTTTTCCAAAGTGCTATCAACGTGGCCTTGCAAGACATCCTCGTTGTTAAACTGCTGCTCCTCTGGAGCATCGTTGTCAGCAGGGGAGAAAAAGTCCAGCCTCGTAGATGTTTCTACATTGTCGGGCGTAACCGGAGAGCAATGATTCTTTTGGTGAGGGAATATCTCATGAATTGCCACTTCCCCTTTCGTACCAAATGTGTTTTGAAACGTTGTTGGTACTGGAGTATGGAAGACACTGTTGACCGGATCAAACGGCTGCCCTGGACTGATCACAGAATTTGAATCATTCCGTAAGCTGGCGCTTACTTCTTGATAGGGATGATGGAGAATAGTTCGCGTCGTAGAATGATCCGGAGTCTGTAGGACACCGGGTTCGATTTCTCGATGAAGTCCATCTCTTATAGACGAACTCATTCGTTTCGAATATATCTTCTTCATACAATGCGGCGTGGGCTTACCAGCAACATGTGCCAGTCGCAGTTGGGAAGCATGTACGGGGCAACGGCCGCAACCGGTGACCAGAGTGTTCTGACAGAGGCTGCCTTTCCGGGTTACGGCACCGCAGACGGGGGCGGCCTCCTTTGTCATCGCAGATGCGGCGGTAAGGAGGCGAATGCAGCCTGAGATGCGGTGAGAGGTGTCTCAAGGATGGCTTTGCGAAGCTGGGAGGAACGAAGTTGAGCCAAGAGAGATGAGGCCAGAGTAGGCTGCGGTGAGGTGTAGGGAGTGCGATACAACCGATGGGTGCCAGAGAGTGGATAAGATGAGAGACGTGCGGCAATGGATGGGGAAAGGGATGCAAAGTGGGATAACTTTGAGGGGAAGAGCCGATTGTGAAAGAGAATGATGCTGGGGGACGTTTGAGAGTATTTGTGTTGTCGTGTCGTGATACGTAAGTATAGGATGCACGGGGGGGCTGGACGAGTGAGGATGAAAGGTGGAGGGGGCAAGGAAAGATACAGATGCGAAAGGCAGAAGCTGAGAGGATATTCGTACGTTGAGGCTACGGAGGGGGTTTGAAAGGTTATGGCGGGATGGGAAGAAAACACGGGGGAGCGGATGTGGTGTGGGTATAGGGTTGGTGTTGAGAAATGTGGGGGAGGATAGCAAGGGCGAGAGGGGGGGAAGAAGGGCAAGGACGAGAAGACAGCTCTGTTAGCCCCTCTAGAGCGGGAGTGGCGTCGGCATGGCGCAAAACGCGAGCATGAGACCTGAGAAGGCCGGAAACCCCCCTGAATGGCAGGTTTTTCAGTGGTATTGAGGGCCTTTGGCGACGACATTGGTTGAATTCAAAATCTTAAACGTTGCCCCCATAGGGACTGACCCTCGGTCCTCTGAGATGCAGGGGGATCTCTTTTAAAATTTGATTTTCCCGCTGGCGACGACTGGGAGGTACTTTGCGATAAAACTGTGGGCCGACGGAAGAGGAAGGGGGCTGTTGGCTATGATTGGTGTCGCTTGCGTGGAGACTGGGTCCGCGGGGCGGACGGGCAAAAGCGCCACGCAGATGGAGGTCCGGAAGACAGATCTTTGCAATGCCCTGGCATCGCGTCCCGCATGAGGCCTTCGAATGGCGATGCCTCGTGCGCCGTGCTACCAGAATGCTTTAACAAGGCTCAATCGAGGCGGACCCCACGGTTGCTTTCGTCGCGTCGCTCGCTCGCCGAGAATCATAGAACGTAGGCCCTTCATTTTCAACGCGTACAGTGCATCGTAGACCCTCACAAAAGCATTTCACGTGGTGTCGTCGTCGGAGTGGAATGCCTCCAGCCCTTAAGCGTCGTAAGGTGCTCGTGATGCGGCAGTGCAACAGTTTTCCCTGCAGATGGCCAAGCCGGGGACTTTTCTTCCAGGTTCATCTGCCCCCGGTGGAAAACAGCACCGGCCCCAAAACTCAAAACTGCCCCACTGCACCTCCTGGAGTTGGACCGCCTTTTCGAGAGACTCTTGGCACAACCATAAAACTTTCATATTTTTGTGACTATTTCTGAATCACGATTTGTACACGTATACGTACTGGGCGATCAGGCACCCATTCAAACTGTAACATTTACAGTTAAGACGGCCTTGCAACAAAAAAGAGCCATTTCTTCCTTGTCTTACACTAGTTTAAATTTAAAAACACTCCCAGGCCACGCATTATGTTGTCAGCATCATTTTGAATCTGCGCAGTGGACTTGTATTCTACCGCCATGTCCGCGCCGTGTACAGTTTTCAGGTGTATTACAGTGTACGGACCCATTCCCTCTGCTTCATAATCGGCCCATACTTGAAACGCCTCCAGTGGCGGGAGGCTCCATGCGCCAGTGAAATTCACTGCAGTATTCTACTGCACGAGTAAACCGTGCCGTAAAACATTGGAGTATTACTCTCCTTTCCCGCCCTTCCCCTCCCTCTCGGACCTCCCGCGATTCTCAACGCATCTAGAGTTCCATACGCTGGAAAAATATTTAGGAATACCAAAACGGCTGTCTTTTTGTTCTGCACTTGGAGGGTGGAGGGCAGTGCAGTGCGCAGAAGGCTCTCAGCCCCGTTTTCTCGTACGCATGAGAAGGGCACAGTGCAGCACCTTCAACAACCGCCATAGAATACCAGAATGTCTTTTTAAACCATTCCTTTGAAGTACTCTTCGATGTAGCGTCCGTACTTTGAAGGAGAGTTCTAATCTTTCCCTTCCCTATTTTCTTCAGCCCCCAGTGGCATGGTAGTCCATAGCTCGCTATCATAATGTACAGTATGTTCAAGGCTACACACACATGCATGGACAAAGGTTGCCTTTCTTGCTTTCACACCCCCCTCTTTCTTCTCCATTAGTGCAATGTGGTAGACATTTCTGCTCGTCAGCCTGATCTTTAAAGCTTCACATAGTTAACACTTGAAGATGGCCATACCATCGTGTTAACATTTCACTGCAGCCCGTACATTTCCTACAGCTGGTCTAGGACCGACTCAACAGTGGTTTTGGCCAACTGCACGAGGTGAGTACATAGCGGAAGAGCCTTCAATGCCAAACATGAGTGCAATGAAAAAGTTCAAAGCAAAAGAAGGCAAAGACAAACGTTCGCGGAAGAAAGACCTGGCGCGACGTGCAAGACTCGAATATGATAGATGAGTGCCATTGCCTTAATGCTTCAGTCTTTTCCCTCAAATCAAATTTAATAGGTGTCGCTATAACGACCCCTGCGCTTGCGCACACTCCATAGCCGTTCCGAAAAATGTATACTTGCTGATTCAAGACACTCAATCTGATAAGTTTTACACCTAAACAACTAAACTCAGACATAAAATATGGTGTATGAGCATATATTTATAACTGAGAATACACACAGACTCCTCCAAATAGGTGTTGATACTATTATTTGATTCTACAATCGAGCCCAATAACATAGGTACCACCATGTCGCACAGTCTTTGCAATCGAGTAAGCCTCTCTCGAAAAATATCAATGAGTACCCCTCTCCTTTACGCGGTACTTGAAATTCGTCCTTTCTTACAATGTGAGAATCCTCGAACATTTAACGACTTTATACTGGCCATCTTAAACTTGAACCTCCCCCCCCCCCCCCCCCCCCCCCCCCCCCCCTTCCCTCCCAGTTCTATGCAATTTTTGGTGCAAGTGTTTTCATGGAAGACGCTCGGTGTTGGTATCTTTTTTAGTGTCTAGATGACACTTGACCTCATCTGAGGTCAAATGGCCCATATGAAGCTGCTCTTCAACTTATTTTTTCTAGACGCGTGCTTTGTCGATGACAAAGAGAATGATACCTTTGCCACCGCACCCGACTTCTGTGTTACGTAAGGATGGATTCTAGTGAGAACTGCATATTCTTTTCAATCGTTTTTAGAAATGCCTGGTAAAGAAGCCTTTTTCAGCAACTTTGAAACGTTTTGTATCGCCTTTTTTTTTCAAAAGCACGTTTATCAGGGAAACTGAAAGTTTAAATAAATTAGAGTCTTAGTCTTTCTGTGTGTTCAAAACTGTCAGAGTGGCAATCAGGAGAATACGCATTGTGCCTGGACTACCACACCGCAACTTTGGACCTGATTACCGTGAAATAGCGTCCGCCATTTCAAGGCCAATGGCTCTGATTTTTCTGGAGCATTGATTATTTTTTCACATCCGAATATATTGTACCTCTGAGTGGCCACTGCAATCAGCCAAGCCAGCCTTGCTGTTTCCGACATTCGCAGGTGGAACTTGCGCATTCCACCACTGTAATGTTAGTCGTTCTAAACTAGTCAACTTACCTTTTGGGCAACGGATTTTCCCATTTGAACCAGACTTTCATCCAAAATGACAAAAACCGGGTGCGGAAATATTGAAAATATTTTCTCAGTCTTCTTTAATCTTAAGATTCGTAACAAATTTGCCTTGGGTGATAGCGCAGCATCGCTCAAAAATTTGTAATTACGCTCATCATCCCTTTACGTGGCGTGGCGGTGCAATTATTGATTCAGCACTTTGCGTTTGATCTTGGTCTGCCCTGGGCCAGACCAGGATCAAACGAAATGATGGGGCCATCGACAAACCGTACAGGGGGCAAATGAAGGGGCATGGCGATATGAAAAATGCGATCAACACCTTGGCGACCCCTCTGCTTTGGAGAACGCCAAACCTGGAATGTCCGTAGAACAAGCGAACGACACAGAAAATCCGAGCCATACTCGGATTGACAACCGAAATTATGCTACTGTTGATAATATGACAAGATCTATTCGTGGGCAAAACGGTCGCTTCCAATCCACAAATGGCGATGCAGACGGCGCCATACAAAAGAATCAGAATAGGAATCAGCGTCATCGTGCTAGGCGGAAAAGCTTGATGGAAACTGTTTTCGAACGATATATTGCAGTGTTCTTTATCGTGGGGGAAAAAAGAGATTGGATTCCGTACTCTTCGCGGACTGGCCTTTTTGTTTCTGTTTTTCAGAGCATCATAAAATCTGCCTATAAACTCGGAAAAAACTAACGATCATCAATGCTTCGGGGCATATACCTCAGCTCTGGAGAAGCCGAAGAAATGGCCAGAATCAGCGTCAGAGATCCTTCAGTCCCGACTGCCACACCATCAAGAGTGAAAGTCTACCGCTACCGAAGACTGCCATCGCTGACTAAACCAAAATCGGAAATAAAGGCATTAGAAGACTGGTTGAGGCACATAGAAAAAATTGGTGCACTGTTCGGTACATGGACGGAAGCACGCAATATTTGCGTAAATGCGATTCGGAGCTACAATTATATCTCCGACAATGAAGTTGGGTACGTTGGATTCCCTGTCCAGGTCTCACCAATACCTTTGCAATCATCATCATTGTCGCAGCCTGGACCTGAAATAAGAATCAATGCATGTAATGACACAGAGGTGAGTGAGCCCGTCCATACGCCAAGCCGACGACTTGGAGCCCAGAACACCCTTGCTAATTTGGAATCGTCATCATCGGTGCAAAGGCCTTTGCCGCAAGTCATTGCCATTGCGAGAGAGAGGTACGCATCTGGGGAGGGTGCCAACAATGCTCGTGATGCATTGATTGCTTTAACAGTAAGGACAAACGGGTCACAAACAGTCCGTGGTCGGGCACGGGAACTGGACAGTCATGTGCCAAGCAATTGCGCCAACATCGCAATCGCCGGCGATGTGATCACTGCTAACGGAAGTACAGATTCTGTTGATGAGACCGAAACAACGGGTTCCGCAGACTGTTCTGTTGACAAGCAGAACAGTAGAATGCTTCAGTTCATGCTGCACTACCTCGATTTAGTGCATTGCGACGAGTTGTTCTTGGCTTTATGCATGGTATTTGATAATCGCTTGCATTCCATGTTTCACATTGTATTGGGAGCCTTTAGAGAGAAGTGCAACAACAAGCAGCCCCGTGTACCGTACATGGTTCATATGCTGCTGGAATACTGCCAGGGCAAGGCATTCGGGGCAAAAAACCAAAAGAAACATGACGAATTGGAGCTACGATTGAAGTCTGCCAAGGAAAATTTCAGCACAGTACGATCATTTTACGGTTTAAAGTCTTATGAAGAGATGGGGTGGACCTTTTCGCTCAAGTGATGAGGTGCTATTCATGAAGTGCCGGCGTGGGTGATCGGAAGTTGGGGGCGTGACGGGAGGGTGGTGGGTGTGTGGGGGGGCTGACGTGGTTGGTAGGACGTTAAGCATGGATGTTCCAAACGGCACGGTTCGGCGGCGGGGCAGTGTTTGTATAGTGTGCACCGCGCAGCTTTTGCGGAGAGGCGCCGGGGAAGCGCGGCAGAGACGAGGGATTGCGGT